CGATAGATGATTGGATAAAGAAGATGTGGTATGTATACACAATGGAATATTATTCTGCCATAAGAAAAGATGCAATAGTGCCATTTGCAACAACATGGATGGATCTTGAGATTATTACGCTAAGCGAAATAAGTCAGACAGAAAAAGTCGAGAACCATACGATTTCAGTGATATGTGGGAAATAAAACTAAAAGCAACAAAGGAACAAGACAAACAAATAAAGAAACAAAAACTCATAGACACAATAGTTTAGTGGTTACCAGTGGGTAAGGGGAATGGTGGGTGGTAGAAGAGGGCAAAGGGGATCAAATATATGGTGATGGAAGAAGAACTGATTCTGGGTGGTGAACACACAATGTGATATGTAGATGATGTATTACAGAATTGTACACTTGAAACTTATGTAATTTTACTAACCATTGTCACCTCAATACATTTTAATTTAAAAAGATAATAAAGGAGCGGATTCTCTACCCACTGAGAGCTGCAGGAAACTGAACTTTCAGCAGCATTTTCTAAACATCATCCCAGGCTTTCAATATTAACTTGATGACCATTACACTCATTCATACGCTCCCAAACAAAATGAATCCAAAGCTGCAGAAAGCTCACACTATTTTTAAAGGAAGTTTCAACCATCATTACAGAATAACAGTTATTCTGCAAAAAAAAATAATAAAACACAACAAATCTACAAAGGCTGTTATAAGTGGAGAAATGGACGATCATGGATGGAAGCTTGATATTCTTAAGATAACTAACTGTGCACGCCAAACCCCACAAACCCAATCAAAATCTCAGCAGGTACTTTTGCAGAAGTTGACAAAATTGGTATGAAAATTTATAGGGAAATACAAAGGACCTAGAATAGCCAATTTTGAAAAAGAACAAAAATTGGAGGACTTACATCTGATTTCAAGATTTATTATAAAGCTACAGTAATCAAAACAGTGTGGTACTGGCTTAAAGGTAGACAAATAGATGAATAAGATAGAAAAGAAACCAGAGGCAGACACATGCACATACAGTCTATACTTGTATTAAGGTATCGTATCAATTCAGTGGGGGGAAAAAGCCTTTTAAATAAACAGAAAAACTGAATACCTAACGGAAATAAAACACACCGCAACTCTTACCCCATTTATGCAAAATTTAATAGACCTAAATATAAGAGCTAAAACTATAAAACTTTTAGAAAAACATAGGAAAATCTTCACAACTTCTTAACAAAGGGTTCTTGGGATACACAAAAAAAGAACTATTAAAGGAAAAACTGATAAACTGGACGCCATCAAAATTTAAATCCTTCTGCTCTTTGAAAGGCACCAGTAAGATAATAGAAAGACAGCACAGAGACTGAGGCAGTATTCACCACTCACACATCTGACAAAGGACACACACCCAGAAGCTAGAAAGAACTGGTACAAATCATAACGAAAAGAACAAAGCATTTTCTAAAATGGGCTATGACTCTGACAACTTCCCACAGAAAGATATACCAAAGGGCAGGAAATACGGGAATGGGTAGCTCAACATGAGTCATCAGGATATGAAATTAAAGCCAATGAGATACCATTTTACACCTGCCAGAATGGCTAAAACACTGAAAACTCCAAATGTTGACAAGGATGTGGAACAACAAGAGCTTTCATACACTGCTCATCAAAGTGTCAAATGGTATATCCGTTTTATGGAACTGTTCTGCAGTTTCACTTTTCTATAAAGTTAAAATACTCCTTACATACACCCCAAAGAAATAAAAGCATACGTGTACAAAAACACCTGTACGAGAATGTTCATGGAGCTTATTCATAATAGCACCAAGCTGAGACCAACTGTACTGAAATCAATACATCAGGAAAAGAAATTGTGATCTATTCACAAAATGGGATGCTACACACACACACACACACACACACACACACACACAAAAGCGCGCGTGCGCCCGCGCGAATGAACTTACAACACGGATGAATCCTAATAGTGTTGAATGAAGGAAGCCAGACACACAAAAAATACATACTATATAATTCCAGTCATTTGAAGTGTAAGAATAGGAAAAGTAATAGGAAAAACTAATCTATAGCAACACAAATGAGGAAGTACTTGTCTCTTTTCCGGGGAGTAGCGTTGATAAAAATTTGGTATTATGGAACATTCTAGGATGATGGAAATGTTATATATCTTATTGATATTATAATGTTATTGATAGTGGTATCAAATAGTTAAAATTCATTAAATTGAAGACTTGGCAAGTATGTTGTTATAAGTTAATTATAACAAAAAAATGAGACAATAAAAAAATATGTTACACTGAAGTACTTGTCATTGTTATTAAAAATCATAAGATAATTGTACCCATCACTATTAATTCTAATTTGTACAATAAGACAATAAAAATAAAATGCGGATAAAAATAGTAAGAAACAACTTATCCTTACAAATAAGGCTATATACTTAGAAAAGCCAAAAGAATTAATTAACTACAGAAGGAGAATTGACTCTGGGTGGTAAACACACAGTATGAAATACAGATGATGTACTGCAGAATTGTACACTTGAAACCTATGTAATTTTACTCACCATTGTTACCTCAATAAATTTTAACTAAGAAGTTAATTAACTACAGACTAGTAGACCTAATAATAAAAATGTCAATTTATACATAACTATTTTAAAACTAGCAGTAACTAGTTATTCAAAAGAGAAACAAAATTTATGTTATAAAATATATAATACAAAACAAGAAATAAATAATAGAAAGATATATTTTGTTTCTGGAGGAATACTTAATATAAAAATGTTAATCCTTCCCAAAATAAAATGTATACCTAATGCCATTTACAATCAGAAGCAAATTGTGTCTGGGGAAGGAAATAGGAATAAATACTTTTCTAATGTGTATATGAAAAACTACTGGAAAAGGAAAAACTATCATCTTTTTTTTTTAGCTGAGCCATCCTGCTACCTGTTGGCAGCTCAGCGGCTGCTCAGCTTGGGCTGGACTCGAACCACTGTTGCTCAGAGCTCAAACNTTGAAAACACACCTTCTCTCAACCATAGCTCACACCCAACTGACTGAACAAGTTGAAACTTGTCACACACTGTTACTAAGGTTTGACCCGCCGCTTCCCATATTGAAGATCCCTGCCTTTCCAATGGATGGCACTCAGCAGCAGCATTCACTGTATTTTATGATCACAATGGAAGGGCTCCATGTCACACATCGCTTCTGGTACCAAAATTTCTGTCAAATAAAAACATTATGGTGTGTCCTCACCATCTTATTCACCGGATCTGGCACCATGCAACTTCTGGCTCTTCCCCCAAGTCAAAATGACCATGAAAGGTAAATGTTTTGAATGGATTCAGGACATCAAGGCAGCCATGACAGCACAACTAAAGACACTCAGGAAAGAGGACTTCCAGAACTGCTTCAGAAAGTGGCAAGAACGATGGGACAAGTATGTTTGAAGCAAGGTGGAGTATTTTGAGGGGGATTAATGGCAATGTGTCTTTTACTGCAATAATTTTAATTTCAACATTCACTGTATTTTTTTTATCACACCTCGCCTATGTGGTACATACCTATTGTTAATTTAGGACATTTCCTGTACTTTTAGCAAATTAGTAGTAAGAGGTAGGCTGGGGCCAAGGATTAGTGAATAAAGTAAAATCAAGTACAGAGTTTGGGTTTTATTCTGAGTATGTTAGGGAACCATGAGAGTTAAGCAGGGAAATAGCATTGTTTGCATTAAAAAAAACAACAACCCAAAACCAAAACCTTATCTTGCATGCTATGTGGAGGATGGATAAGTTAGGCAGCAGTAATCTAGGAAATAAGTGATGAGGTTTGGATTAGAGTGATGATGATGATGATCAACACCTTACATGAATTAAACTCTTTTAAATCTCCTAACAGCCACTTGAGGTGGGTACTAGTCTTCATTTTGCAGAAAAGCCAAGGCAGAGAGTAAATAAGCGGCCGGAGGCCATACTGCTAAGCAGGGCCACACTGGGACTCAAACCCAAGAACTCGGGCAGAAGCTCTTAGTCGCATTCGCTACGCAGCTACATTCTTAAGATAAAGAGACGAGACTGAAGCAAGATGTTTTAGAGTTACGGTTGCCAAGACTTGCTAATGGGACTGAATGTAGAGATGAAGTAAATAATGTTTTACTTGAGCAACTAGATGAATTTAGTAGTATAATCATATACAAAGAGGATATAAAATAAGAGGAAAAGGGGCCCTAGGACGCAGGCCTGGAGTACTGCAACATTTAAAAACTGAAGAGAAAAAGAGGAACCAGCAAAAGAACGAAGAAAGAGCTTCTAGTGCTTAGGAGGAGACTAGGGAGTTGTCACAAAAGCCGAGGGACTAAGTGCTTCCAGGTGGAGGAGGAGGCTGTGTGGCACGCTGCTGAGCGACTGTGGACAATGAGAACAGAGAAGGGACCATGAGATTTTGCAAAATGTGAGTTCCTGGAGAAGTTGAAAAGAGCAGCACCCCCCTAAGTGTACCCTCACTTTTGCACTTACCTTGTTATACTGTCTGTTCCACTTCGGGACTGTAAAGTTCTAGGTGGGGACTGCTGAGTTTTAATTCTAAGTCCTATCTTCTAATTACAACGCTTAGAGTAGCACTGAAATAACATAAATGCTAGGTAGAGTAAAGTAAGTACGAAGGTAATTCAAAGGGTTTCTGGTATGATGATTAAGGTGAAGATGTCAAAGGCGACACCCACTCTTCCATTTGCCATCTCCGAATTCACATACCGTAAGAGATCCGTTCTGTGTGCTGGGTGAGGTGCTGCTCTGCTCTCCGTGGGCTTGCGTACTACCGTAGAGTGTCAGGTTATGCTCACTGGTCTGGCCGGCATAGTCCTGAGTGTGTGGCACTCCATATTCTGTGGGAATTCCATTTTGTGGAGGTGGTGGAAATGGGATGGTAGTAAACGGCTGAACCATTGCGTCAGGAGTTGTTGTTGGCTCCTGGTTACCCTAAAAGAAACAGTGAGAGAGCGAGAAAATGAGGACAAAAATGACTCTAAATTCTCATAAAGTAATTATTTTTAAGGTGAGTATATACAATTTTCTGAATATTCTCTCACTTCGCAGGTAGAATAGAACACTTACTGCCTCAGGACTGGGGGGAATATTGTTACACACACACACACACACACACACACACACACACACGTAGATGTATGTAGACACAAACACACAGCCGACTTCAGTGAATTTGTGGTACTGGACAGGCACATGACCACATTAAAGCTGCCTAGTTACCAAAGGGTCAGAAATTTTCCTTTAAACCAAGTTCCAAAAAATGCCAAGAAATGTCTCACATCAGATAAATTATAAGAATTAAAATTAGTTTGGGCAAGTAATTATTTTCTTTAGGAGACTCTATTCCTTTAGTGATTCTTAGGGGTAAACAAATCAATTTCATTAAATCATAATTTATAGAAACAGGTAGAATGACATTACAAATTAAATTCTCAAAACCAGACAACATAGACCTTTAGATTTTAAGAGAATGGAGTTCAGGAGAAAGTATATTATTAAAAAATTAATCTTTGGATTTCAAGGTAGAGATTTATTTAAATCTTGGCTACCAGGTTAATAGTAATAACTTTTTTTAAACTTAACTTAGAAATATTAGAAATAGACAAAAAATTCCTCAGACAAAACTTGAATGAGTTTTTCACAATTACTGCTAACATTACTAGGCTAACAATACAGCAGGACACCTCTCAACACAATTTCCGTTCCCAGATGCTTACCTGGGATCCAGTGTGATATTTGAAATATCAGTAAAGAATATGCAGTCACTACAGAAAACGTTAGAAGCTATTTTGGCTCCATAGCCCCTCTCCTATTTCTGTTCCGGCTTTAAGTTCAGACACAAAAGAGGTGTTTAAATCTTGTGTAACAGATTTGGCAAAGCTCTCCCTTCTCAACAACTGACCTCCTGACCTCCCATTTTACGCCATGAAAAGCAGAGCCATCATGTTACTGAAGATACACAAGTCTGCAAAGTCTTGAGCCACTGTCCTGGAAGTACTTGGCAGAGACGGCCAAATGCTTCAAAATGTCAGCACTTTGATAAACTCCCCCTCACCCATTTTAAACATCAAATCATTAGGGATCAAAGAAAAATCTGGGATTTTGTCACTTGGCTTCCTCATAGTCATGAGCCATCACTTCCTTCAAACAAGCAAGTAACCATTCCTTCTTTCTCTCTCAGTCCCAATTATCCTTCTTGCACCTTAATTAAAGAGCAGATTATGAATTTGACCTCAAAGGAAAGGGAAGTAAAAGCTAAAATAAATGAATGGGACTATATCAAACTAAAAAGCTCTGCACAGCAAAAGAAACCATAAACAAAACAAAGAGGCAACCAACCCAATGGGAGAAGATTTTTGCAAACAACGCCTCCGATAAGGGGCTAATATCCAAAATATATAAGGAGCTCATACAACTCAACAACAAAAACCCCCAAACAATCCAATTAAAAAGATAGGCAGAGGACCTGAATAGACATTTCTCCAAAGAGGACATACAGATGGCCAATGGACACATGAAAAGATGCTCAACATCACTAATCATCACAGAAATGCAAATCAAAACCACAATGAGATATCACCTCACACCAGTTAGAATGGCTATCATCAACACGACAAATAATAACAAGTGTTGGAGAGGCTGTGGAGAAAAAGGAACGCTCATACACTGTTGGTGGGAATGCAGATTGGTGCAGCTGCTATGGAAAATAGTATGGAGGTTCCTCNCCCTCTGAAATTACCCACAGAGAAAAGCTAGCCTGACCACTCCCCTGAGGCTGAGTGTGTTCTGCCATCTCAAAGCAATGAATATTTAAACAGAAAAATAAATATTTCAGAACAAAGTCATTCAAACCAATAGTCTATTAGGTTAAAAATGATGAACCCTGTAACAGTATTAATGTCTCCAACCTCTTAAAAACTCTTTCTTCCATATCTCCTTAATGCAGTAGTTACAACCTCAACCATTCATAAATCATGCCTTCTCCCTACAACAAGAGACAAGAGACATTCTGGGTCAACTACCTGCCTGCTTGGAAATGGAAGGCCCTACACAAAATGAATAATTGGTTGTCTATTCTACTCAATGTAACTGTTGATTTATACAATGCACGGATGATTATTCTTTTTCTCAATCAAACTTTTCACTACAATTTAATTTATCCTTTATTTTGTTTTCACAGACAATTAAGTCTGCATTTTCTATATTAAAATGGAATATCCTTGAACATGGCCATAACTCAGTTTCAGAACAAAACATCAGCAAGATTTTGTAATGTCTCCCGAATCATAAAATCATATTTAATTATTCATAGATTTTGATCGGATATTCTACTGTAAGTCCACTTCTTTAAAATGATGATTCATATGATATACAATAGTAACAGACAAAATTTTTCCCTATACCCATTCCAGAAAACTGCATTTTGTCTTATCTGCAACCACAGTTACACGATAGTTTATATTTCCTCTATTCATTTCACAAGTAAAGCCCTAAGCAGATCAGGAACTGAATCATACACTTCTTCATCATAGCTTCCTCAGCAAACGATAAGCATACAGCAGTTGATCTACAGAAAATGCTCGTTACACTGAATTAACCAGGTAGTTCAATATCTACTTCAAAAGTAGGTCTGTAAAAAAGAAACCTTTCCCTCAATAGCTTTAGGAACTGCAGAAAGCTTATTACAACATAATCATTCATAAATATTTGCCACATAATGAGTTATTACAGTTCTAGTAAATACATATAATATTAAATACATATAAATGCTAATAAAAAGGCGACATGTGAGAATCCACATTATGTACTGTGGGAAATTTTTATAAAAAGAGTCTGTTCTCACCCAGGCTATCTCAAGAATCTTTCTTTTAATAGTTCTCCTTTCTTCTAACTTAACCTTAATCTAATCAATATTCCAAGCAGCTGTTAGAATGACCTTTCTAAAATAAATCTCAATCAGATATTGTAAATTAATCTTCTTCATAAAAACCCTACACTCCTCAATGTCTGCAATCTCCAGTCCAAACACCTCGTAGGGAAGTCATGCCCTTGCTTACTTCACCTATTCAGCTTCGGCTCTTGCCATCAAATATTTATTGAGTACCTATCACGTGTTAGACACTTTGTTCTAGATGCTGAGGAAACAACAGTAATTAAAGACAAGAGTCCTGCCCTATGGAGTTTGCATTCTAGTAGGGAAGAGACACATAATAAACACGCAAGCAAAACAAGGAACAGACGGTGTGCTATGGACAAAAATAAAGCAAGAAAGAGAATCCAGGAGTGCAGGGGTGGAGGGATAGGGGATAGAGGACCGCTATTTGACGCGGGGTGGTCAGGGGAGGTAACGTGCGCAGAGCCTACAGGAATTCAGGGAGCAAGCCCTGTGTCTACCTGGGGAAGAGCGGGCCACACGAAGGGAACACAAATGCAAAGGCTAGGAGGTGAAAGCCTGCTCCACTTCATCTAGGAGCAAGGAGGCCACATGACTGGACTGGAAGAAGCCAGGAAAGAGTGGCAGGGGATGGAGAAAGGTGGCAGTGCGGAAAAAGCGATGTCAGGTGGAAATCTTGTAAAGCTTAAGGCCACTGCGGGGATCTGGGCCTTTCTTCTCCAGTGAGTCCTCAGCACAGAAGAGCCACGGTCAGACTTAGGTTTGAAGTGGATCACTCAGCAAAGGCAGATGCAGGCAGCCCAGTTAGGAGGCCATCAGAACAACCCAATTGAGAGATGACGGAGGCTCGGCCCGGGTGGCACTCGTGTGTATCAAGTCCTGGAAGCCTCCTTGTGCTGCTTCACCCTCCGTTTTCTCTGCACCTGCTATCCTTTCTGCTTCGAAAGCCTTTCTCCTTTCTCCCCATCTGGCTAACTCATACCCGTACATGCTCTTTAGTATTTAGTCTGATCAGCTACTGCTCTCTGAGGTTTGATTCACCCAAACAGAAAAGCCTAATTCCCTCCTCGCCCCCACGCCGGACCCTGATACTTGACTCTATTAGAACACTTCTATTACAGTTATTTGCTTACACCTCTCTCGCCTCTATAGAACATGGACTCTGGATGGCCGGCAGCTCAGCACAGGAGAACAGAAGTGAGCTGAGGAGGGGACGGCAGAGATCTGTTAGGATACTGCGAACTCTGGAGGGACCCGAGGGCTCTGAATCTGAGCTCCAGCAGAGGCGGAGGGAAGGAGGATGGGGGATCAGTGCTAGAGACAATCCGATGGCAGACTCAGCAGAGCGGCAACGGCATGGGGACGAGTGGAGAAGCCTGGGTCTCAGTCCTGGGGGCTGTATGATAATGGGGAGTGAGGCAGGGGTGGGAAGGAGAAGGGATCAATTGTAGAAGGCCAATTTTCTTAAAAAAGATCATCCTGATATAAACTATTATACTAATTAGATTTTATCTTTCAATATCTGAAGTTCATTTTTTCCCCCCAAATGCATTCTCAAAGATCTTTGATATTTATTTTTTAGGGTGTTTTTGGTAACTCATTTTCCCTTTTTAAATTTATTTTTTATTTTTATCANTTTTTTTTAGCTGAGCCATCCTGCTACCTGTTGGCAGCTCAGCGGCTGCTCAGCTTGGGCTGGACTCGAACCACTGTTGCTCAGAGCTCAAACTCTTGGAAAAGGAAAAACTATGAAGTAGGGCATGCTCTATTTTATAGAACATTGATAATCCTAAAACAGATTCAAGTTTTTATGGAAACTTAATAGAAGATAATGGTGCCATTTCAATTCAGTGGGGAAAGATGGTTTATTTATCATATGGTATTTGTAAAAGCTGGCTACCCACTAGAAAGAAAATGAGCCCCGTGGCTCAGACTCCCATCTCCCCAAAATTCCAGGAGGGATGAAATCTAATGTAACAACTAAAACTATAAAAATATTTTTTTAAAAGTTGGGAGTATAACTGGGGTGTGGCAAATT